TTGGAGAAATAGCATGATAACTAAATAGTAATATTCACTCCCAAATCTGATTAGTAACATTCACTCACAAATCAATTGATACCAATTATGATTTTTCATTCCCCATGGGGACAGATGCTTACATCACATCCTCCTATGTACATTGATGGGATTTCTTAATGTTGCAGCACTAGCAAGCACTCAGTCACTTTGATGGACCAATTTGGTTTTGAATGCTTCAAGAATAACGGTCTGGAACAGCTGTTCATAAACACTCTGAATGAGCAGCTGCAGTATCACTATGATCAGCATATCTTTGCATGGGAGATGGTTAGTACTGTCCAAACTAAGATGTAAGATTCTAGTTTGAAAGATGTTGGAAGTAAAATAATTTCTCATATCTTCCATACATATTTTATCATTCATCATGATATCCATAAATGAGATTTGATTACTTTATGATAAATAAAGCTGCACAAGACAGATTCTCTCATATTCTCCCCATTTTCCCACCTCACATAGGCAATCTGGATAAGTCATCAATAAGAAATAATAGGTGGATGACTGGCTTGCTTAATGTATGGCTAGTTATGTTGCCATTTCTCTCCCACTCTCTTCCCCTTACATGAAAGTTACCTAGATGATCCACTTGTATGACCAGTTATTAGGTCTGGCGGGTTCTCATTAAAGAATAGCTATACAATGTAAAGCCTCCATAACTTGATCAATAAAGCAGTCAGCTACCAACTGGAGGAGCAGGGCTCAATTCCCAGTAAAACTGATTGAATCTCAGATAATTCAATGAAGTTGCTTCAACTGAATATGTTTCTTTTCATTTATAGAATTTATCAAATTAAAGGACAGATTGTTCAGATAACATAATCATGGCATTATGTTTTGCAGTGTAGCCCACTGTCAACTCACATTTTGGGACTCTACAATGATCACAGTTCATTATGTTCTTTTATGGATATATAAAACATGTCCAATAATTAAAAATATTACTTTGACCCTGATGAGGTGTTAGCAGATTCCTCCAGAGAGTTGGCAGTAGCCATATTCCTTGACATACTGCTATTATCCAGAAGAAAAAACAATGACCCATAATTAAAAGCTGAATGTTGCAAGGTTTACTTCAGCTACTTTATGTATTAGAGCTCAACACTAGCATTTCATTTTAGACATAATTCACATTACCAAAACTGCCATGCACAAAGGCACATTGTTCCTGGCCAATAATTTGACAAATGTGCTGTCATGAACATTTCAAAACCTGAAGGCAGAATTCTTGGTTGACTGTTGTTTTGCAGAAACAGATTCATAGCTAATGATTCCTTTTGCATGTATAAAAAACTTATTCTTTTTATCTTTGATTATGATACTCATGTTATTTTGGATATTGGAAACCTTACTTTCCACTGGATACTGGCATTTTGTTTCTAGGTCATACTGGAAGACACATCAGCTGTCAGTATGTTTTGGCAGTCATGCTGTTCTAGCAGTCTGCCTGAAAAATTCAAGTATATTGCTTTCCGTCTTATGTTTTTGACAAACAGTACACTGTGCCACTGAAATGCTTGCAACCACAGAACTGAATCACACTGAATATTTGACACCAAACTATTTAATCAAGTATTCATATGATATATGCCCAACGAATCACCAGTGTTCTCAGATGCTCACAGACATATCAGTCCATTTATTTATCTCGCTTCACAGAACAGCCTAATAGGCATTTTTATTCTAATTTATGTCCTTCAACTGCAGCAAGACCAGGAGCAAGAGGAGATATCAGCTCAAATGCTACATTACTATGACAATAAGCCTACTGTGGATGAGCTGTTGGAAAAACCAAATGGGTTTCTTCACTTACTGGACAAGGCCAGCAAGACCGGCCAAGGTTCTGACTTCATACTTGGTGAGTGCATGGAAGAGAGCAATCGCCTTGTCTTTTGGTTTTCAACTGACCTCCACATGCATGAGAATAGTATGATTCCTAGAATAAGGATGGTTTACAATTTAAACTTAAGCTTCAATGTTAAACCATCAAAATTTCATAATATTACTGATATAATCATAACTGTTAAATGTCTGTAGCTCTGCAGATTTTTACAGTCTACAAGTATATGATGGGAGCACCACAGGCTTTTATAAAAATCCACAAAAAAATCTCACTTCACCAAAACCTGAATGCACAAATAGTTCATGGTCTTTCATACCCATTACCCTCTACTTAGAAAGTCGATAACAAATGTTTGAGAACAAAACAATATAATACAGTACAATTAATTAAATGTTATATTTTGTACTTGAAAGAAAAATTACACTGAAATTTATCATCAATAATATTCTGAAAAATTTGCCTGACAAAAGAATAAACACAAATCAGTGTGACAATGGCTAATAAAGTGGTCCTCTTTGAAGACTTTATACTTATTCACCTCACCAAAATATTGCATGGAAACCAAAAGTTCGATAGCCATGTTTACAAAAACCTCCCATGGGATCCTATCCTGAGTCACTTCAATCCAGTCCACACCTCCACATACTGCCTCCAAAAACCATTTCAATAATAGATTCTCATTAATACCTACCTATTACAAGCAATCTTTCCCTTGAGGTTTCCCACCAAATTCTGTATTTACTTTTTATTTTCCACATGCATTTTAAGTTTCTTATCCATTTCATTCTCTTTCCTAACTTAATCTCCCTAATTCTACCCTAAGAATATTGGATAAGTACTACAAATTATAACAATACCCAAGTAAATTTCTCTCGCCTTTTGTCACTTCATCTCTCCCAATTTCAAATATGTCAAACAGCACCTTAAAAGCATGTTCTTTCCTTGGACTGCCAGATGTGACATACACATATAAAGCACCATATCACATTATACTTTAATATTTAGGTATTTAGATGTCCACAATAAGATAAAAGATTCTGAACTAAATGGTAGCAAATGTTTATCACATTTATTCTCTTCTTAAATGTATCTTTAATGTAATTTAAATTTGTTTCTGTCATTCCCTGTCATATGAAATATGGCACATTTTATAATGATTTATTATGTTACCTTATATTATGATATTTATCGAGTGTTTTAATGATTACACATGGACGTATACTTAGCTTTCTCTACATTTATTTCTTTATCAACCAAATTACTGGCTTCTAACAGAATTTCTGCACTCCTTCTTTGGAGTATTTACACTTTCATCTAATAAATTAATATAACCAAAATAGGCCAGTAACTGGCGAGTTTCACTCTATTCTAATTTAAGAGTAAGCATAACAACAAATATTTATTTCCTATGTTTAGGCATGCAGCACTTGTGCCAATCAGAAAAACAAAGTAATTATTTGAATGCAACTGTATTGCAGGTTTTCTGGAAAGTTCTGGAAAAAATTCCTATCTCAAAGTACAAGGTGAACATGAATTCAGTGTCGCGCATTATGCAGGCAAAGTGTCATACGATGCTCGGGATATGGTTGGCAAGAACCAAGATTTTCTGCCACCAGAGATGGTGGACACACTGCGTCTGTCCTCTAATACAGTGGTGAAACATCTGTTCACCAACCAGTTCTCCCGTACTGGCAACCTCATCATGTCTGCTGAAGATTGTGGTATCATCACCAACACAAAGGATCGGTGGGGAGCAACTCTCATAGCTAGCACCACCTGCAGAGCCAGGGTAAAGAGATTCTATTGACTGATTGATTTTAGATCTCATCCATAATTAATTTGTTTCACAGTTACTGTCCTTAGAAACTTCAGGAAAGATGTATATAGGGTAAATTCGCTGTCTACTACACAATTATACATGGACTTTGGGTCCAGTCAGCTGCTATTGCTGTATGACACTATCTGCTCATCAGAGAATATAATCAAAACAACAAACAGCCACTGCTATTACCACTTATTCTTCTTTTCACATTACTAGGCCTTCATGAAGCCTTTAGATATCAGGAGGACTCCTAGGACAAGGGTATGACATGTACAAAGTCACTATCTGCAAATGGCAACACATAACAGAAAAAAGTGAGCATCCACACATGTCCTGACCACAATTCAAAACCAAAATCATGGTGTTTGAGTGGTCCTTAATGGTGGCCATGACCAAATATAGTGGTTAAACCAGCAATACTCAGTCACCAAAACTTCGTTTGTAAGAAATGAGATAAGCCTCTGAAAGGATGTGCATAAAATAATATTTTTTTTCTGCAACAGTCCCTCACCGAATCACAAGAATGGTTCTCCCAGACACGACAGATGCGGACAGCAGCTGCAACATATCGAAGCTCAAGTCTGAAGATACTGCGGGGGCCAGGCAGCAGCAGCACCCATTTTGTTCGGTGTATACGCGCTGACCTAACCAGACAACCCAAAGGCTTCCAACAAGAAGTCGTGCGACAGCAACTGAGGGCCCTTGCTGTCCTTGACACAGCTGAGGCCAGGCAGAAGGGCTACCCACACCGCATTCCATTCCATGAATTTATTCACAGGTATGGCCAAAAAAAATGGTGCGTGGTGGTGGTGGTGGTGGTGGTGTAGTTGGTTGAGGCACTATACTACAAGCCGAAAGGTAGTGGGTTTGAATCCCTATGAGGTCATTGGATTTTTCATTTTACCTAACTCTCCCAGTCACACTATGGACCTTGGGTCCACTCAGCCTTTTACAGAAATGAATACCAAGAATTTTCCTGGGGGGGTAATGTGTGGCTGGCATGTAAGGCTGGCAACCTCACTGCCATCTGTGAGCTGATTGTCTAGAAAATGGGGAAGTCTCGACATCTCACACCCTTATGGGCCTTCATAGCCTGTTACAAGGATAGGTGTAAGGCAAAAAAAGAATAAAAGAAAAGAAACGCTTTCAATTGCTGTGGTGAATTTTAGGGTTCCCTTTATTACATGTGCTGATGTTTTCGGGGTTCCCACAGCAGTAGCTATGAATGCCTCTGTCTTCCGGGATGTACGTAATATTAAGTAGCCTTGTGAAAGGCAACCACCGTTTCAGACTAATACATACATACATACATACATACATACATACATACATACATACATACATACATACATAGCATTCCATAGATCCATGAGTTAGTCAGATGACCTACCGGATGTGGAATTTGTCAAAAATCATACAATACATATATACATGCACAATTCAATTTCACATAAATAGTAAGGATTTCACAAAAGTAGTAAAATATCCATCATAAATCCATACATTAACATATAATATATATATATTTTTTTCCCTGTGTTCCAAACAAGAGAAAACATTACATGCACTTTATGTTGTTTGGAAGCATAAATTCCTCAACAGAGTCAGAAAATCATCTGACTAATGTATTAATAAGAAGTTCTTAGCAAAATTCATAAAGCCTACTTGCATACTGCACAGTCCTGCAGTTCTGGTGTTAGTGTTGATGTTGTTGTTGTTGTTGTTGTTGTTTACAAACAGATTCTGTAAATTTATCAGACATAACCTCAAAATTTCGCACAAACTCCATGTTTGTAACTGTTGAATTCCACATACAACATGCAGGTATGTTTATGATATACGTACTTCTATACCAAATTTCACATAACCACCATGTTCTTATTTTATATTCTATAAAATATTAATGATAATTATATCATGTGGATACCAATATAGGAAATCCTTTAAACGCACGCACGCACGCACGCGCACGCACACACACACACTGTTCATACAGAAAATTGATCATTTATAATTTAAAATACTGATGTCCCTAGTTGGATCTGAGGGCATGCAAGTGGACAGATCAGCCACATACAAATTCTGTATTTTCCAAATTCCTCTACTAGTATTACATTGATCTGTTTTGGTGGGAGGGTTCAAAATCAATGTGTTTAACTGTGCTGTCATTAGAGATATTTTGTTCCACATAATTACCAAACCTGCCACATGTCTCTGTGTCTCAAGAGAACAATTGGATATATGAATCAGCAAACTTATAAGCTTTAAATATGGTGCTATATTTCAGGTATAAATTCTTGGCATTTGACTTTGATGAGACAGTGGACATCACCAAAGACAATAGCCGATTACTTCTGGTGCGCCTCAAGATGGAGGGCTGGGTTATTGGCAAGAGCAAAGTTTTCCTCACATATTACAATGTGGAGTATCTTGCCAGGTGAGTCTGATCTCACATTAGCTAAGCCTTGCAACCAAAATACATATTAGGCTTCTATGGCCATTTTTAAGATTAAGTCTATGTACCTATAAAAGTTGACCTGATCTGTCAGTTGATTATAACATGTAATACTGGGTGCCTTCTGGGTAGCACATGTGTGTGCATATATGTATGTACGTTCATTTGTAACTAAATATGATGATACCCATCTCCTCTGAACTAAGTCCACGCATCAAAGTCCTTGAGAAGCTGATATCACCCAGTAGGTCAATAAATTGTCTACATCTTATGCATTAAGGTTGAATCTAGTCTATATGTACATATTCTATTTACATAAAATCCACTTTCACATTATCCTCCCATCTGTGAATACAGTTTCCAAGTGGTCTTCACTGAAATTTTCTAACAAAAATCTTCTTTGTATTTCTTGTTTTTCCCATGACAACTACAAGCCTTGCCTATCTAATTCTTCTTGACTTTATCATCCTAATGTTTGGTGTAACTCTTCATTATATAACTTTCTCCATCCTCATTATTTCTCTCTGAAAAACCCTCCATCTTTGTCCCACAATTTGTTACATTTAATCTTATGATTTAACATATATTTTGGCTCTTTATGGAATCATCACTCCTATATTAGTGATGTGCAACTGTCACTCAGTCTCAAAATATCGTAAGTTACTTTCATGAAAATATTGATGGAGGCATAAAAGGCTGACACATCTGTAAAAATTAAGAATAAATATAATAAAGTATGGAGGGCATTTATTGTGATAAAACTTATATTCTATAGACACTATGGAAATTATTCCTGTCAAAATATAGTTACTTATTTAATTACCTGACTTTCACATTTTAAGAAAACTTTATTGAAAAAAGAAGTTAATTTGAATCAATATATACGGAATGTTCTTTCAGTATTTAAATACTACAGCACATGAATGATAATAACCGGTTTATTTTGCATTGTCCAGGTTGTATGAAACTCATGTGAAGAAGATCATAAAGGTGCAGACCATGATGCGAGCCTTCTTGGCAAGGAGGAATGTGTGTTCCAAGTTGCTCAAGTTTCGCCAAAATTCTGGTAAACAAGATTCTACCACTACAGAACAGTCAGCGCCCCATAGTTAAGCAATGAACCATCTTGCACTGTTTATCAGATGCAGCTGCACTGCTTTTTCTTGTACAGTCAAACCTCCATTTAAGGTTTCTTTTGGGAGCAGTTGATTTGAAAACGGAACTCAGGAAAATCTTAAATGGAGGAATTTGAACAGTTGGGTTCACTCAAACTGAATACTAAATGAATGAATGGCATATGTTGAAGAGCATTAAATGGCGGTTCCACTGTACTAAGATAATAAAACATTAATCTGTTGAACATTTATTTTGTGCTTGACAAACAGACTGGTATTCAGCAGAGACTCTATATATGACATATTTACTTCACCAAATAGAGTTTGAAAAAAGAAAGAAAAAATATCATTAATTCAATAAGGACATTCATTGCATAAGAAATTTAAACATTCTACTTCAATAAAGATCAGATTCTCAGGAAATTGTAAGTAGGGAGTAAGTGGACATGTTCTCAAAATCTGTATACTTTTATGCCGTCTGCTGTTATATCATGGAATTTTTCACCTACAGCTTCAAAATACTTGAGAGTTTTTTTCTCATTCCCAGTTATTTTAGTGTTATTCAACTTTGTGCTTCTGCTCTGTAATAATTCATTCATTCATCTGTAATCTGTCAAGACGACAGGTCCACAGTCTCTTCCAAAACAGTTCCTCCACTTGGTGCAATCTAGAGCTTTCTCCTTCAGATGAAAATATCCTCTTCTGTCCCCAAGGTCATCCAGCATCTTCTTACGTCTTCTTCCTCATCTTCTGGTCACTTCTATCCGCCCCTCTATCTTTCCTTCAATAACTTCTTTTAGACGGCAGTTACCGCTTAAGATATGGCCAATCCAATTAGCCTTCCATTTTCTTATTTCATGTAGGATATTCCTCTGCTCACTGACTCTAAATAACACTTCTTCATTTCTCACATAATCGGTCCAACTGATCTCCTCCATCCTTCTCCNCTTCTCCAACACCACATTTCGAAACTTTCCAGATGTTTCTGATCTACTGCCCTAAGTGTCCATGTTTCAGCCCCATACAGAGCTATGCTCCAAATGTAGCATTTCACTAGTTTCTTCCTCAAATTTAAGTCCAATTTGCTGGTAAAAAGATTCTTCTTCTTTGCAAAATGCAGCTTTTGCCATGGCAATCCTTGATTTAATTTCACACGTACACCTTCCATCATCTGTTAACAAGCTACCCAAATATTTAAAACATTTCACATTCTCCAGTTCTTTTTGGTCTATATTTATTGTGACTGGGGTTGGTTGTCTCGAAACTTTCATTACTTTTGTTTTTTCCACATCCATTTCCATGCTATAGCACCTTCCAATTTTGATTAGTCCATCAATCATACCCTGTAGCACAGTTTCTTCCTTAGCCAATAACACAAGGTCATCTGCATATTTCATAGTTTGGATAATTTGCCCTCCTACTTTGAAGTCTCCAAGCCCATCCAGAGCTTCTTTGGTAAGGCATTTGCTGTACAAGTTGAACAAAACTGGTGATAAACAGCATCCTTGTTGAACTCCTCTCCAAATCTTCACACTTCTTGTCTCCCCTCTGTCCAGTCGCACTCTAACTTTCTGATCCACGTACAATTTACTAATCAATCTTCTTTCACGCCAATCGATACCTGTTTCCTTTAGGATCTGCATTAATTTGGTCCAATTTACACGGTCAAATGCCTTCTGCCAGTCTATAAAGCAAGCACACAGTTCTTCATCTATCTCCAAAGTTCGTTCTGCTATAATTCTCATCATCCCAATTGCATCCCTGGTTCCTTTTCCTTTTCTAAATCCAAACTGATCCTCTCCAAGTATATCCTCTATTTTCCTTTCGATTCTTCTTTTAAGTATCTTTGCTATTATCTTTGCTGTATGTGCAATAAGGCTTATTGTGCGATGGTCGCTGCATTTTGTAGTTTTTGTCTTTTTCTTTAAAGCAATCATTGTCATTTTTGTAAAGTCCTTGGGCCACTCCTCAGTTTCATATATGATGTTTATTAGTTTTGTCAGTGTTTTCAAACCACCTTCTCCCAATAACTTTAGCACATCTCCAGGTACATCATCATCTCCTGTAGCCTTTCCATTCCTCATGCCCTTGATAGCTTTTTCCACCTCACTTTGTAAAATATATGGTCCTTTCTCGTCTGTATCTACTTCTTCTTTGGGTTCCACTTCCAAGGTTTCTGGCCAATTACTCGTATGTCGATCATATAGTTCTGTAATATAATTTTCCCAAATTTTCAGCACTTGCCTCTGATCTACTATTCTATTCCCCTGGGAGTCTTCGATGCCAATATTTTGAGTCCCATGGTTCTCTTTCCATCCTAGTTCTTTTGTCTTCATGTACATAAAATCATAACATCCTGTCCTTTGAAATTCTATAATCTCATTACATATGTTCTCACGATATTCCTTTTTGGCCCTGTCCATGGCTCTTTTCAATTAATTCCTCAGTCTCCTGCATTTTCTCCTGCCTTCTTCATTGTTTACATTCTTCCATTTCCTTCGCTCCTCCATTTTACTCATCATTAATAATTTATATCAAAGTAAATACATATATTGAGGATAATCAAATAAAATTGTGCAAGATGATTTCAAGACCAGTTCTTTCACGCAGATCAGAAGTCTGGACAATAAATATAAGAAAGACTGAAGCTGTTGGTATGCATTTTCTGAGAACAGTAACTGGATTTACACAATAACCCAAACAATGACTGACAACCTAAGAAAAAATTACAGAACCTTAACACTGCAGGCAGAATTGTACACAACAGAAATATTTGGTATGAACATGAAAAAGGAATAGCTAACAACTATATCCTAAAAGGAGTGTTTATGATCCACCAGGAAATTAAGTGCTCAAATCCTTTCATTAGGTGTGACAGAACATTCTGCCATGGTCCAACAATAACTTAATGAGTATGATGTACCAGTATGTACTCTGATTTAAATCATTTATAGTTCATAGTTTAGACCACCTCTATGGTTTAGCAGCCAGTATTCCTGGCTACAGACCCAGAGGACCGGGTTTGATTCCCAGGCCTACCAGATTTTATCTGAGAAGTAGTGGGTCTGAAACAGGGTCCCCTCAGCCTCGTGATGATAATTGAGGAGCTATTTCAAGGAAATAGTGGCTCCGGTCTAGAAAACCGAAATTGAAGGCAGTGGGGATTTGTTGCGCTGACCACGCAACCCCCTCTATCCACAAAAGTTGGCACTAAAACTTCACCAACAAGCAGCAGTCACTCGGTCGGTATAGCTCACTTGTGGACTAAAATCACAGAGTTATATTAGTTATATAGTTCATAAACATGACAGGCTAGAGAGATGGAAATTTTACTGTTGTAACAGTGGGAATTATCGTGTCTAGATGGCAGCACTATGCAAGACATATTGCATAATACTTGCCCTCTATCCTCTTTGTCTCCATTGCATATGCTCAGACCGAAGTTGAGATCTCGCAAAGTAGTTTGAAATTTGGGTACTTAAATAAGGATGTTTTATGGACTTCAACAGATGAAAATATTGGAAATATGATGCATATAAAACATAATATTATTTTACAATGCAATACTTATAATTTAGCATTCATGATTTCCAATTGTAAAGTACTTAGAGTTGCAAGCAGATGAAACTCCCATGACAAATGGTTAAAAACATATAAAATTATGGACTGACAAAACGAGATTTTAAGGGAACTGGAACAAGTGACTAAAACTGATGATGATGATGATGATGACGATGACAGTTACTACCTAAACGCAGATTGGTGTAACAGCTCTTTGTTAATATTTTGCAACAGTTTGAACTACATTTAAACATAACTAGTCCTATACTACTACATAATCAACCTGATGACAATCAGTAAGCCAGGCTCAATGACCATCAAATCTTTCATTTAACAACAGAAAATAAGAAACACAAATTCAAACACTAAACATGTAGAACCAAAACTCAACCTAGACAACAACATGTATTGCTCAGCATAAATATAAGCCATTAGTAACTATCATTTTATAAAAGTTCTCATGAATACAAGGATTTCAGTTTTTCTAAACATATAAAATAAACAGATGTGTTTAATCGTTGATTCAAGCAATTAAAAGTGCAATACAACATAGGTCTCACTTGTTTCAAAACTTCAAAGATAGGGAATGCTGAATTATAAAACCTATAAAAAATTAGTTCTATTAAATGGATTCCAGTAGAATGTGCTGACATGCATCAAAATGATAGATCTTTTTCTTTCGAAATTATTTAATGACATGTAAACAAAGTTAATATTCTAGCCAGTTTCTCTGTGTGCTAGATACTAAAGGTGTGCATATAAAACATATTCTGACACATGCTCATCCAATCTACAGAAGATTAATGGGAACAATATGAGTGTAATGAGCATCAGTGAGGAAAGATTCTGATTAATTCTAAGGACAATTCCAACCTGAAAGGATAACAGAACTCAAAATTACATCTGCCTCTAACTGAGTTTGAAGAAAATAAACAATGGCATTGTGTCTTAGACATATTTACTTAAAACATCAGAAATTCTATACTGAATCAGCATGAGGTGACAATGTAATGATGTGTCTCCAATTTAATTCCACAGTATAAACCTCCTATATTTAATTTGAATCGTTTCTTGCATCCTGTTGCGTGTTTAATCAATAGTAGAGTGAATTTACCGACAACACAACACGTTTTTTATTATCACTACATGTTTCGACTTTAAAAGGTCATCTTCAGGTGTATGAACACGGCTGTATAATTACACGCGGTCACATTCACTTTTCACTCATTCGACCTTGTATCTTTTCCAAACTTACGCTCACTAATATATCCAGTTCTTTTTATTAAAACACAGGTTAAAATTATTATTATTCTAATTTAACTGTTAAATGTTCGTGAATCAAAGTTCAATTCATGTCACTGGTTACACTTTCACTTGTTTTTTAGTCTCATTTTACTTATGCTCACTACTGTATCTAGTTCTTTTTAAACTAGTTTAATTATTATTATTATTGTTAAAAGTTCGTGAATTAAAGTTCAACTTATGTTATTGGTTACACTTTCACTTGTTTGTGAGGTCTCACTGTTCTTCTGCGTTCTTTGATGTTGCTGGATCTGTTATGATCATTGTCGTGATGAGTATTTAAAGTCAAACACTACTCATACAATTTATAATACGTAACTAATAACAGTTTTCATATAAAAGCCGAGTATTTATCACATCCAGTTGCAAAAGCAATGACAAACAAGTTATATTTTTCTCATATTTAAACTCAATTATGTATTAAACCAAATATTACCATTGAAAATCTGTTATGTAACTGTTAAAATGAGGAAAAAGTACTTCAAGTGAACAGTATTGTTATATGATGGAAGAATGTGTTTACCGTTCACAGCAGGGTTAAGAAAATGTGTGACTGCATGCATTATGATACTCTGAATTTAACTACCAAAGTATAGGTCATTAGCTCATAATCAAATTATGATTTTTCTGAATGATGTCATATTCATTGCATATGCATAATTCATATCACAAACTAATTTTATAGCTAATTTAATACTACATTAGAAAGAGATTCAAACAGAAAGGAAAAAATTTATGTAAGTTTAAATACATGCAGTAACACTGCGAAAACTACACAAGAGTGAACATAATTATTTAACATGATCTTTCTCTTTAAAAAATGCACGTGGTTTGCCTTCAGAAATAGTTTACTGATTACATATTGGAGATTCAGAATATATTGTAACCCCCTTGTAGTACGTTCAGTCTTACATGCATCATATGGTTGATTTCCAGAAGGATGTTATTGGAATATTGATCTTGTAACATGTTTCAATTGTAAGTACTTGAATGTAAAACTATAACTTGCTCCAGTTGTTATTTGTTGTGTATGTAAAAGTTTATTTGTGACTGAATAAATATGTATTACAGAGAATCATATTTTATGTTATTCTTTCTGATAGCAACGTTTTGGAAATCATCCAGAAAAATGCCTTCTCAATAACCCACACCTGTGATAGCCAATATTTCTTTATTAATATGTTTCCATGTCCACATGTCAGATTTTATGATACCCTTTAACACAGGGCAGTGAAAGGTACAATTCATATATAAAAAAAAATGTACTGATATTACTAATGAGACTCGATAATTTTGAAATGAAATAACAAAAATGTAAATAATCAGCAAAAGCAAACGAAATTGTATAAATAACTTATCTAGAGACAGAAGATTTAAACAAGTAAATATTAATTATATCTTACATAAATTATATTTATTTTTCTATTAATTTTTATTATTTCCTACCGATTAAATTTAAATGACCATCTACAGGCAACTTATTTCATTGTTGAATTTAAGGTCATCAAAGTGGTGACCATGAAGACCATACCTTCTCTTGAACTTACTTCATTGCTCCATTTGTAAATGATCTGTTGTATCGCCACATGAGAGACATGTAATCTGAGTTTTCATTCAAAGTACTAGATGAAGTCAAAACGGACAAGCTGTAATTTTTACATTCAATATTATATGTAAAGTAGACAAACTTGCAAGGGAAAGCCTACTTCCTTCTGCTGGAAGAACATACCAAAAGTGAAATATGTGTTAGGTCAAATTACATAATATGTGTTTATGACTAGTAAGTCCGTTGACTGCAATTGAAATATTCTGAAATACAATACATGGACTTTGGAATCAAAATGATAGTTAAAGAATATTTATATTAACTGTGTGAGATTATGTATCATCATAAATTCTTTCTCCTAAAAGTTTGGAATAAGAATTACAGCAACTCACTATACTATTTAATAACTGATGTCTGAAATCATTCTAAATAATATTTAACAAGATTACTTCCTATATCACAGAAATCTTTGTCTCCATTGCAGAGGTCAACCTGTTTATGATCAAGAGAAGTAATCACTCTTTCTGTGAGAATCATAGAAAACATAAATACACAGTATGGGCAAATTGCAGAGATCTCTAGTGTTAGAGCAGGTGTTACCTGTGCATATAACAAGCAGTAGTTTCCAAACTTTTCCAGTTTGGTCCTACATGTGAACTCATGGATATAGACTCAACACCCCTCTCTTGAAAGCAAAATGAACCTGACATTTTTTCACTCTGCATTTGTACAAGGACTAAACCTAACAAGAGTGATTTTCAAATGCTCATAAACAATTTTTCTATATCCAAAATACTGAACAGTGTCCCAGCCAAGATCTGAACGAAACAGCCCAGTACGTGGGGACGTAACTGGGCCACTCTGTTCCTGGGGGATAAATATGGGGACCTGGCCCTCCAGGCTGTGGGAGTCTGGAGTCAGAGACAATAAAATATGGTCATGAGTCCTGCAGAAATCAGACCCAAGAATGACTGTAATGGCGAGGACCAGAAGCCTCTCGTCAGAGAGGATGTTATATAAAGACTATAACTGCAAGTGTTCAACTGAAAAAAAAATGCTGGTCTTGAGTCCCAAGGGGCTCGTCGCCAAGACAAATTGATTGGCAGTAAACTGCCAGTCTTAAAGTAACTCTGACTCTGACAAGTAGAAGGCATATAAAACCATGAAAATGAAAATGTTCGCAACACTAGACAAGGCGAGGCCCGATACAGGAAACATAATATGCTTTAACTTGGCAGTGGTCAAGCGTACAACTGTTCAAATGACTAGACTGCCATTGCAGTGGGAGCTACTGAAGATAGGGCATGATTTATTGTAGTTACAGTGATATTTGGAGTATGTATCCAGTGAGACTATTATAGTTATTTATAGCTACAACCTGTAAGTGGTCAATAAATCCAAAATTCACTCAGAAGTCCCATTAAGAGTTACACTAATATCGTGACAACTAGCATCAGAAGCAGGATCATTGGATTAGATCGATTGAATTGTTGGACTCATCGTTTAGCTGGAGCACTTGTGATAAATATATACAGCGAACTTAGAAAGTCTGGTAGCCATGATAAAACAGAAAACAGCCAAGATGGGATCCCATCAGGGAAGGATGGAAGTTAATTTGAATGCCTGTCAAGAAGGAAACATGGCTGCCAAGAAGCAACAGAGGCCGGTCTAGAAAAGGTGAAGATCGAGACAGATGCCGGAAGAAAGAAGATTAAGTTCTGGAAAGAAGATACGAAGGCCTATCAAATGAAGAGAGGCAAATCCAGAAGAAATGAAGTCCATAGAGGAGCATCAATAAGTACCCAAAGAAGATGCAGCAATGAAAACTGTCAGAGCACTGAAGTTGTGGTATGGGGACCGGCATGTAGCCATAAGGTGCCGCCTGCAGTTGTAGAAACGGACCCCGGGCGATGGTGAGTCCTGGAAGAGCCTGGCCGCCATCTGCACAGGGATGACCCGCCATGCAGGAGTGGTACGACGTAAGGGACAGGGTCATACGTGACTGACGGTCGAACAGAGATGACGGAAAAATCGGAACAGGGACAACATTGCAAGAGGAACCTCAAACGGAGAGATGTACGGGAAGAGACATTGAGTGCAATCGGAATGCAATTACAGCATAAGGAACCAAGGCCTAAAAAGCGATTACATTGGGGAAGCAGGAGAACGCTCAACAAGACCTTCAGGCAGACTGTAGAGCTGGAGATCGCGGGGTCGAATATCTCCACCGTAGCCTTGCGAGTCATAGCAAGCGATGAAAATGGAAGTGTAGAATCTGAGACAGTGAAATATGATCGTGAGTTCCAAGGGACTCGGACCCAAGAATGACTGCACTGGCGAGTACCAGCAGCAATTGTTAATGATAAACCTGTCCTCTAGTCAGAGAGAGCATCCCAAATCAACAAATCCGTAACTGTCTGACAGTAATAAAATTCTAGTCCTAAGCCTAAGATGGATGCTATATTCCAAGACAGACTGGCCAACTGACCGTCAGCCATAACATAAGACTCAAACTGCTCTACAAAGCCTGTACTCACAGAGGACTTTTGTACAGTGCAAAAGGAAGACTTTTCAATAACAGGCTACATGTGCAATAAGTACACTTGATGAAAGGCCAGGCATATTCTTAAGATACTAACCCATCTTTTCATCAGAGACAATGTTACATAAAGACTATTAGAAAAATCTCTTGTCGTGGATCTCAAGGGATCTGACTCCAAGACGAACTGATTGGCTGTAAACCGTCAGTAGCAAAGCAACTTTTGACTTCGAATTTGTCTGAGTGCGGTTGTTGGAGTTGTGAGATCTGTGCCAGATGGTAAGGACATAAGCTGACAGCGATGAAATTTGTTACTGGAAGACGTCTAATGAAGACTGAAGAGATTCTATATGTGCTGTAGTTACAGTGATATCTGGAGTGTCCAAATCAGTGAGACTGTAAGTGGTCAATACATCCAATAATCCAAACCCCTGTTGAGAGTCACTCAAAACTTGACAATGTTGTTTATTTCCTTTACTTGAACAAATTAATTTATTCAACATCTATGTACAACAAAACACCATTATTTTAATTTCATTAATTTTAGTTCTCTTGTGGGTTCAGCTCAAAGCAAGTACTTTCTCCACCTTGGGTTCTTCATAGAACTGGTTACAGTTAAGTAATATGTTAATGCATATTTTCAGTTGACGGTTTAAAGGAAAAAGATGTGCAAACCAAACAACAGAGTTCAAAGGCCAGTTCTGATCTGACTGAGGAATCAGCTTCTATCATCATCCAGAAACGTAAGATTCTGCTCTGTATGTAGCCTATAATTATCTTTTTAACCCCTTGTCCCATCATTTAAATTCACTTCATCGCAACACTATCAGACCAGAAACAGAGGTGATGCCGTCATACAAACAAATGTCTTTTATTGTTCAATTCACAACATTTTCTAGCCCATATAGATCATACATCCTCTTTATTACAACCATCACAACACAACAAATAACAAGATTAGTGCCTAGTTTCGGCTCTGCTACATGTTTCGGCTATCAATAGCCATCATCAGGCAAATACACGGTTAACACATATACATCACTGAACTGCAGTACTAGTAAAACTGGATACAATGCTATTAATTATATAAAACACTTGACGTAAAAATACAATAAATCAGATTATATGAAACAGAAGTTATAGTATAAAACAAGAATAAAATTCTTAGATTGATGTTTTATATCATCGAATCAGTCGTTGGTTTTGTAATTTCGTTGCGTTCCCACAGACAAATTGGAATATTCTATATTTTTTTATATAAAATTGTATAGGAGGCTCGTGATGTAGATATAAATTAATGTTAATTGTTTAGTCGGTGCCTCATCTTAGAAAGTAGTGTCCATTCTGTAGGGAATGTAAACGATGACTCAGGATGCATGAAATGAAAATCATATAGACCATCATCAGGTGACCTTGATGATGGTCTATATGTGCCCAAATATGTTGTGAACTGAACAACAAAAAACCTTTGATTGTGTGACAGCAATACCGTAGACAAGATGCATGCTACAAGATAATCAAAACAATTGATACAAATGTACTTCATTCACTGTGATTTAGTATGTTGATCCCGACAAGAAACGTTTCATTTCGCCGTGTTCTATTGTGTTAGTTGTGGCAAAATGTTTAATTATAAACCTCTCTAGAATACTATTTCTTCTTAGAAATATAAGGGTGAAACTGGTCTCAGAAAATATGAAACTGTATTCGACAATGTTATGGTGCCATCCAAGTAAAAATATACTTTTACTTTCCAACATATTTTAGTTCCTACCAACTGCAATGAATGTATGTGATATCAGTCTTAAGTTCTGTCTCACAAATCTGTTACACAAGCACCAATATCTTGACTCAGATGAAGGACCTGATTACTTCATCATGTTTTATACAACAAATCATAAACATGAATAAAATACCAACAAAACTCCCTGGGCTTGGCATGAAAGTTGTAGTTCCTTTGACTGTTTTGACTAGATTTCATTTACATCAAGTGATGGAATTCAAATATCCATTGTACCAAGAAAATACATGTAACATATTAGTAGTGAGTCTTATTGCATATCTCCTCTACGTAGTAGTGATAGAGACAGAAAGTGAGATTTAATCCCCTCATGGATTACAGTCCTTCTTGAGAAGCTCATAGCTGCTCAGCAGATAAAGAAATTCCCCAACTTTTATGCAACCCAAAAGTTCAGTGCCATTTTCACAGCTTTCCACCTGGTAAAATCCTGAGAGGGCCGAATCAGTCCTAAAACTAATATATTTTAGTATCATCCTTCAATCTATGTATGGACTTGTAAGTGGTCTATGTTATTCAGGAATTTGTAACTGAATTATGTAGGCTTTTCTCATCACCACCAAGCAGGACAGAAGACTGTCCATCTAACTCTCACTAAATTATCAGAACAGTTCTACTTGTCTTATTTGAGTTGAAACTTCAAGACATAAAATCCAGCATATATCTGTAATTATAAAAACAAGTGACCCTGCAAATTAATGTCTCTATTTCAGAATTTCGTTGCTATCATGCAAGGAAACAGCTGGGGATAATGACAAAGTGTAAGCACAGCACTGTTATATGTTATAATAGTAGTGAAAATAAACTGAAAATTCTTATACTATAAGATATCATGAATTAAATTAGAAATATCATACAGAATATTAGTATAGAAACGTGAAGTGACTGCAAAGTTATTGTTTTAGAATTACTGCCACCTTTCCTTATTTTATAAGCAAAGAGAAGTATATGGTATTATGTCTGCTTGTGCAGGTGTGTATGTGTCTGTCCTCATCATATGTTTTGAATCAAGTAATGGATATTAATGGATTCTGACATGAACATCATGCTATTGAAGGCTTAACTCTTTATTTCCTTGCAATCAATAACATTAACATGACAGTCATGAAAACTTCTGATACAAAAGTGATACTAATGTTACTTCATATACAGTATTGAAATGTTACGAAGTAAGAGTCTATCAAGTAAGGGCAATTTTTGTTAAGTCTATGTTTCCACACAATGTAAAAAAAAAACAATAATGTGTGCGCTGTGCAAAATGCCATACATTTATATGATATGGCAATAACTAATAATCCATCACAGTTATGTAAACAGATTTTTGTATGATTAGATAATAAATACATATACATATACACAAGCGAATTCACATGTGGGCACATATACATGCATGCACCAAAGTTTTATTTATCCCACTCTTCCAGAGGTGTCAAATTGAAAATATCATTGAATAGAAACCCTTATCCCTCCTGTCTTAACAGCATAATCTTCCATGGAGTGGGCTTTCTGGGTATGTCTCATGGACCACTGACTGCTTAGTATAATTTTTCCCTAATGGAGTATCTATTAGTCTATAATGCTGAATTATGCTCTCCTATCCTCATGTTCCTTGTATAATCTTATAATATATATCACATATGCTCCTCTGTTCTACAGAAGAACTAATCTGTAATCCCTATGAACACCTTGTCAAACAAGACTGTAAGAAGTATATTCCATAATGTAGTAAATAAAACTCCCAATACGACTCTTTGCAGCTCAGTAAGCTCATTTGCAGCAGGTTTATCCATCTATAGCCTTCAGTAAAGTGGACTTTCTTATTGGTCAATAAGATTGTAAATTAGAAGAAAGTCTCTTACATAAAATTAAAAGAAAATTTGTTCAGTTGTTTAGATACTGAACCACTAGGTCACAGGCAGACATGACTTCTACTCTGTAAAGATTGTGCAGTAAGAATATGAACTCAGAAGTACTAGACCCACTCTGGAAAAATGACTGTTCTAGAAATTTCACTTGCTTCAAAACTTATTTGATAATTACAACTATGTTTCAAGTAAATTAATGTGCTACTGATGATTTACTTTTAAGCAGGCCTTTGAAAATAATGAGTGAATGAAAGACTTTAAACTTGAGTAATTATTCCAGTGTGTTCACAGGTAAAATGGATGTAAACACAATGGAATGTATACAGGAGTATTATAGAAGATGGAAATCAAAAACCATATTTCAAGTGTTGCTTATGTACCGTGCTGCCAAACTACAGGAACTGGCATATTTCGCCCAGCAGGTCAGTTATGAGCATTACAGAGCTTCTGAAATTTATAGGACATCATCTTGAATACATTTAAGAGGGCATAATTATCTCTGCTCACATCATTTTAAAATATTCCTGTGATTATGTGATTCCAGATTTAACACATTACTATGATACTTATTACTTATTTTTTAATAGATGATTTTATTTTGCTAATGTAATTATTAATTGTTCACTTATTATTACAATTAACATAACAATATATACAAAGGGCCTTGGCAGAAATATGATTGCTTACTATATACTAATTTTTATTTTGAAATGTAATTATATTAATTTATGTATTCTTGAATTTATTTCTATAACTTGTTTTTCTATGTTTTTATTGTATCTATGTTAAGATTCAAACTTGACTATTTCCACATCTCATGGAACTTGTTTCTTTATGGATCTATGGAAATGAAATAAATGAACTGAACTGATGGATGAATAGCCCTCCAACTATACCCACAGCCAAACTATTGGTAAAAAAATTAGGATCTTCGTAGACAATCTTTATCCATACACAATAAAGAATGCCTTATTTTTATGTAGGGGTCATCTTGATTTTACAATTAGTTTGTCACTTCTTATATTTCATGTTCCACCACTTGATGAATTTCAATAACACTCAGTGCAGAATATCAGTACTATACATCATTATGCAAATTCCATTTTTATTCACATCAGTCTACCAGAGTCCTGCTCTATATAACGGAACCAATTTCTTTTATAGATCTCTTAAATGTGTACATGTTGCAGGCAAAGTACAAAATTAAGCACTGCATACAATACCTAAAAGCACCAGATAAAATGTGAAAAGAAGAGGCTACACAGCACCACAGCCCAGAAGATGGTACTTGTCATTGACACCACTGTGAGAACCTCAAATCCAACAAAGTGTGAAATATTTGCTGTTTCATACTCTTCCTAGACATCCTATAAAATTCAAGACTTCATTTTGCCAGTGTGTGATATTTGAGGTGAAGTGAAGCAACCCTGAAAGCCTCAAACCGTATCCAGAATAGTAAACAATTATTTGCCTACTAGGTCATTAATGTGTGAATTCTTCATGGGTTCAGAGTATCTGTACTTTTCACATGGCTAATCCATCATACCACATGCAACAGCCAATGGATGGTTAGTACTCTTTCTCTTTTCAAGTGATTCACCCTGCTTCTTCTTACATTATCTAACTTCTGAACACACGTTTCATTCATGATAGTAACAAAACAAGTCACTGATCATATAAAACTTATAGAGCAATGATATTATGTGGAATTAAACAAAAGCCAAGGTATTGCAGCAAAGAACACTCTTGTTTTTATGGATAAAAATATGAAGAGTTAATGAGTGAGGAAATTTATGCTAAAAGTTTGAACAAAAAGCAGTCTTGTGACTAGGATTGCTGACAGGGTGTCTTAAAGTGTAACATAAAAGCAACATAATCTTCTTTTATGCATTCATGAGGGAACTGCTCTATGTGCACTACATATTTGGCTACTAGTCATACTGTAGAATGTTCTAAAATCTCTGGCTCTTTCTAAGGGGCTCAACTGAGTGGGTGTCTTCCTTTCTCAGCTGAAGACGGAAACGGGTCCAGTTTCCGAAACGTTGTGTCCTATAGTACCTAAAATTCCAGACGATGGAAAAAGTCCAAAACCCCAGTAACTCTATATTCCATCTACTGCCAAACTTGATAACACAGCAAATTGTTAAATACAAAATGAATAAGTGATACAGTCCACACTCTCACATAAAACATTACATTACCTTACTTAACATTACCTAATATAACTAATTATTATTTGTATTAATATTTGTCCGTAGTCTGGAATTCGATTACGTCAACTGATGCCAACAAGCTGGAACGCATCCAGCAGAGGTTTGCGGCCCTTTGTTTTAAACGTTTCTTTCCTCAAGTTCATTACAATTATTCTCTTGCTCTTGAGGAGTTAAAATTACATACTTTATGTGCTAGGAGACATCGCCTTGATGCTCTCTTTCTTATTCAAGTTTATTTTGGCTCTAAATTCTGCCCTTCTGCCCTGGAAATTGTTGGTCTCCGAGTTCCTGCTCGGTATATCAGAGATTTTGCATTGTTCAATGTTTGCTCCATATTTAAAAATTGTCCCTCTGCTAGATGCGCAGCAGCTGCTAATGTTGTCTGCAGGGATGTTGACGTATTCGGAGCCAGGAATGTTCAACCCAAACAAATTTTAAATATAATATAACTGTTAGTATTTTGATTAAATATTTCTGTTTCAGTCCATATCAGCTATTTGTTTGTTTGCTTATAATTTTACTTTTATTCATTATTATTTCTTCTCAGTACTTACTTGTAATTTGTATGGTAATTTAATAAGTTTTTCTAGAATGTAATTCATTTTTCTGCACTGTGCTGTGTCTGAAATTGGCCTTGCGGCTGTTGACTCGGCACATTAATAATTAAGAATTGAATTGAATTAATTGAATTGAATTATTATTATTATGTATGTTATTTATATGTATTAATTTGTTTTCCTCCAACATTAACCTTTAATCATTGTTTGACTTTATATTGTGTTTGTCCAGAATGTAACTACTTCTATCATACACTGTGCTGAGTCTATAATTGGCCTTGCGGCTGTTGGCTCAGCACATAAATAATAAAGAATTGAATTGAATTGAATTACAATTTCCATTCCATTATGACTTCATAAAAAATAGAAATGTTTGGTCTGCTCTTGTAACAATGTATACTTCTTATTAAAAATCGTACACCTCATTTATTTTTACAAATAATAATAGTATTCAAATCATATATCTGCATTTCAATCCTGTTTGTTTTCATCCCACTAATACACGTCTTAAATCAGCCTAGAAAATCAACAGAATGCCTATGATCTACATACAACACCTACACAATGTATAAAATAATAAAAACTCATAAGTTTCAAAATTTGCCTGAAACTGTCATGCATTGTACACTATTCCTAAATTGTATACTTTGCCTGTAACATACACAGCCACAAAATATTTCATATAAAAGTTATGGAAATTAATGTGTTACAGATTTATGTTGTTTTCAATAAATTTGATCAAATGTTATATGAACACAGAAAATGTATATGGATGACAAAGATCACATATTTTCACACTTCTAATTCACAAGCTAATGTCTCCTCATATATGGAATAACTGTGTAGATAGATAAAAGAGAACATTTACATTTCATACTATGTGTGTGTTTTGTTAATTGTCTCATAATGCCAAGATTCACTTTATGTTTTGAAAGAACACGTTATTGTTTACATGCATGCATAACATGGGTAGTTCTTATTGTGATAGGTCCACCTGTACAACCAGAGCGCCATGAGTAGACTGGATAAATGCAACGTGACCACACCCCTGGAGAGTGTGGTATGTGGAGCTCGTGCTTCAATTGTCCTTGGCAAGAGGCGTCCGACTGTCTGGAAATTGCCCTTCCATCTTGAGCAAGACTTTCCATATTTTGATACAGCATATCTCACTGATTATACGACTTCAAGGTGAGAATAAGGAAAAAGTATACGTGTAAGGTCTATGGGATTTGACCACATTAACAGTTGGTGCTGTATTCTCTGAGTCTATTCATCTGTGTAACACTGTGCAAATGAAATATATGATACATCATTCAAAATATTTAATATGTCAGTCATAATTTCATTAAAACTTGGCGATTTCATTGATGAACTATTTATAACTCAATTATTAATTAACAAACTAGTCATAAAAGTAAAAGAAAGACTTCAGTAAGTAAACGAATGAAGCAAAAGAATTATGATATGGAAATATTTCATCTGAAAGAAAATTGAACAATGTGAAAGTTAAACAATGATATATAGTTACATCATCAGGTTGCAGTTTTAATGTGTGGACATCAATATGAACTGGAAAGTGTTAAAGAGAGAATAACAATCCTACAATCAAAGAAAGGCAGTCAATAGTGATTAATTAAAATAAAATATTTTATCAAGTGTGCTCTAAATTATTGGATACTCAAAATTACTAGACCAAAGAAACAAGCCAAATTGGAATGGTTACTGGGTCAAAGCAAAATACGTAGGGATAATCTGAATAATATAAGATACAAAACCAGCAGGCATTTCAGGAATAAAAAGAGGGAATATCTGAAAGACAAAATTAATGATCTTGCAATGAACAGTAAGAACAAGAATATTAGAGACCTGTATAGAGGAATAAATGACTTTAAGAGGGGTTACCAACTTAGAAGTAACTTAGTGAAAGATGAGAATGGTGATCTGCTTGCAGATTCCCAGAACATTTTGAATAGGTGGGGTAACTACTTCTCTGTCATTGAATGTACGTAGGGTCAGTGCTGTTAGGCAGACAGAAATCCATACAGCTGAGCCGTTAATACCTGATGCCATCACTTTTGAGGTTGAAACTGCTATTGCAAAATTGAAGAGGTATAAATCACCAGGTAGTGATCAAATTCCAGCAGAACTTGATCAAGCAGGAGGCGAAATATTACATTTTAAGTTCCATAGGCTAATTTTTTCTATATGGCATAAGGAAAAATTGCCTGATCAGGGGAAGGAATCTATTATTGTACCAATTCACAAGAAGGGAGATAAAACTGACTGTAGTAATTATCAGGGGATATCACTGCTATCAACTTCATACAAAATTCTATCAAATATTCTTCTCTCAAGGTTAAGTCCATTAACCCCTCGAGCGTGACTTTTAGCGGAGCCATTTAAATCCCTAAGCGTGTGCGACGCACCGTCTGCGTCCACTCAAAGCCGTGCTGTAAGCGTGCGCGCCGCATATGTTGCGTCCAAACTTTTCACTAAGAATTCTTAATGCCTACACTCTGATGTGTGTACTTCCAGTGAATGTATATGTCAGCTAACACTGACTTCTTTCATTCCTCACTATCTGTTTGTGTGTGGTATTTTTTTTACTCGCTTTGCTTGGGACAAAGCATCTGGTGTCTGCTGCTTATGAAAGAGTTGTTCCAACTCACACTTGCTTACAGAGAGATAATTTGTTAGCTAACTTTCATTGAGTGCTTGTTATCTATGTGTATTTTTTTATTACTGGCTTGGCTTACTGGCGACAAAGAAGCCGTGTCTGATTTACGATGTTACGAACCTAGGTGTCAAAGTTGGCTGACGCCTGTGTCAACATTTATGAATCTGTTATTCCTTTTCTGCTTCGCAACACCCTCTTATCGGAGCAACATGGCATTTGGTCACGTAACTTCTCTGGCGGGACAGTTTCTTGCCCCTGACGCTAATAAAATAGAGCTTTCAAAAGTGGGTTCCCACAACTTTGAATGAAATTAGGATATTCCTAGGTTTTCTTATGCTGATGGGAATAATTCAGAGACCAAACCTCAGGGTGTATTTTAGTAGGAAACATATGTTAGAAACACCATTTTTTCCCAATGTAACGAGTGAAGAAAGGTTTTCATTGCTGACCAGATTTCTCCATTTTGTAAATAACACCAATAAGGAAATTGCAAAAAGAGATCCTAAATTGTACAAAATTCTTCCGGTAAGTGAATATTTGAAAAATAAGTTCCAGAAAGTGTACATACGGGGCAAAGATGTAAGTGTCGATGAATCTTTGTTATTGTGGAAAGATAGACTTTCGTGGAAACAGTATATTCCTATGAAAGCTTCCCAGTTTGGGATTAAAATTTTTGAACTTTTTGATTCCGCAGGATATTTGTGGAATTTTATAATTTACAGTGGATCAGGGATAAAATTAGGCTGTGAAATCACCAAAGAGACATATCTTTTCTCAACAAAAGTTGTTCTAAGATTGTGCGAGGAACTATTATACTCGGGCAGATGTGTTTTATATGGACAATTTTTATAGCAGTCCTGATCTTTTCCAAAGATTAGTTCAGAGGACAACAGATGCTGTTGGAACAGTGAGTATCACGCGCAAAGTTATGCCAGTGGATCTAAAAAAGGAACTGAAGAAAGGAGAAGTGATTAGTGCAAAGTGTGGGAAATTGGTGGCGTTGAAGTGGAAGGATAATCGCGATGTCTCAGTGCTGACTACTAAACATTCAGACGAAATGCAACCCGTAAGTCGAAAGGGTGGGTTAGAATTTGTAAATAAACCTATGTGTGTAATAGAGTATAATAAATATATGGTAGGAACTGAAAAACTTGAAAGATCAGCTACTAGAAACATTCTTGCTAGAAAGGAAAAGGCAAAAAGCGTGGTACAAGAAATTATTCAACCACTTAGTAAATACGGCAGTGTTGAATGATTACATTCAGTACTGCAAGGCTGGTAACAAGAAAGATCATCTGTTATTCAGAATAAACTTAGTGAATAAGATCATAGCAAAGTCCCATGGACAGAATTTAGAAAAGCGCAAAGGGCGTCCTTCAGATACCGACATGGAATGTACGAGATTGACGGGACAGCATTTCATTCAAGAAAATCCCAAAACCGAAATTTAAAAACGGAAAGAGAAAACAAACTTGATACAGGCGTAAAAATTGCCCAGGGACACCCTCTCTCTGCCTAGACGCCTGTTTTGAGCAATACCACACCAAGGTCAACTACTAGACACTGAATATGGGGAGCTGGGAAAAATAGGTTGACAAAATGTAAGTACATATTTATAATAATGAACTGTAAACAATTGTAAATATAATATAATTTTTTGGAATTTTTCAAATAGCGATTTTGTTATTTAAAAATATTTATGTAAATGTCTGCACAAAACCTTCAATGCTTGCGAAAATAAAGCACCGGGAGGGATTTAAATACCCCCACTTAAATTCACGCTAGATGCATGTAACTGAGCGGACGCATATGGTGCGTTGCACACGCTTGAGGGGTTAATAGATGAAATTATTGGGGATCATCGGCATGGGTTTCGACGTAACAGATCAATTACAGATCAGATCTTTTGCATTCGTCAGATATTGGAGAAGAAAATGGGAGTACAATGAGACAGGACATCAGCTATTTGTAGACTTCAAGAAACCCTATCATTCAGTTAGGAGGGAAGTATTGTACAATATTCTGATAGAGTTTGGGATACCCATGAAACTAGTTAGGCTGACTAAAACGTGTCTAAACGAAACGTATAGTAAAGTCTGTGTAGGCAAACATTTGTCTCATAAATTTCCTAACCAGAATGGTCTAAAACAAGGAGATGCTTTATCGCCACTACTTTTCAACTTTGCCTTAGAATATGCAATTAGGAAGGTCAGGGGAAACCACGTGGGACTGAAATTAAATGGGACACATCAGCTGTTGGTCTATGCTGATGATGTGAATCTACTGGGTGATAATGTAGATACCATAAAGAAAAACACA